TTGTTGAAGACCACTACATGCTAAATGAAAGACTTCCAATGACAACATATTTCATTCGCAACTATATAGAAATCTTGAAGGAGTGTGGTGGAATGAACATTGAGAAACAGATGAAGATTTATACAAAGAGAGAAGATAAATATGTAGTTCGCATGGATAGAACTACACCGCTATGGGATGTTATGAAAACATTGTGGGAGTGCAAATATTTCGAACCTATTTCTTATGGAGAACTTTTCACATATACGACTGACTTATATAAACAGAACCTTGCACCATTTAAAGATTTGACATATGCTCCAAAGTATTGTGTACAACTGAAGAAGAAAGCAGAGTCAAAAGAAGTAAATAAAGCTAAATGTAAGTTCATTCCTGAGCATGTTTTCTTTGCTGACTTTGAGTGTAGCACAGACGGCTTTCATAAAGCTTTTAACATCTGTTACGACAGTGAAGATGGTTCAGTGAGTGAAAGCATATGGGGTCAAAACTGTGCAACAGAATTTTTGGAACGACTTCCTGACAAGAGTTTAATATATTTCCATAACCTCAGCTATGATATAAACTTCATCTTAAGACACATGACAGAAGTGAAAGGAACTCCCATCATTAAAGGTTCACGAACAATGCAAATAACTGGTTTATATAAAGGACGGGCAATTATTATAAAAGACTCTTACAGTGTTATAAATAAGAAGCTTAAACTATTTCCTGCTATGTTTAATTTACAAACAGGACCGAAAGAAGTATTTCCATATAACTACTACAGCAGTACTTTGTTAGCAAATGACAACAGAACTGGTGTCATTTCTGAAGCATGTAAGTTTATCCAGGATGCAGATACATTTATGAAAAACATAGATTCCATCAAAGGTTGCAGAATAGATGAAAACTACTTCGATTTAGAAAAATATAGCTCATTTTATTGCAAACAAGATGTAAGAATTTTAAGAGAAGGTTTTGTAAAGTTCCGCAATGACATATTAAAAGAATTTGATTTAAACGTTTATGACTACGTTAGTATTTGTTCAATTGCTAACAAATTGTTTGAGAACAGAGTATACTTCCCGAATGGAAATCTTTATGACCTCTCAAATAAACCAAGAGAATTTATTTCGAGATGCATTCAAGGTGGAAGATGTATGTTGTCAGATAACATGAAACAAAAGAGCGAAAAGAAACTCATTGCTGACTTCGACGCTGTTTCATTATATCCATCCGCTATAGCAAGACTTTATACTTTAGAAGGAATTCCAAAAGTATTGAAGGATGAGATGTTAAGTTCTGAATATTTGTTAAAGCATTTATTCGATGACGACCAAAAGGAACCCATTGGTGAAAAGTTTATGTCTGGCTTCTTTGTTCTCATTAAGATAAAAGAGATTAGCATACATAGACACTTTCCTTTAATAGTTTGTGACCCTGAACTAAATCCAGAACTTAACGTTCCCAGAAGTTCAAACACTTGCTGTTAATGTATGTTGACCATATAACATTACAAGACCTCATAAAATATCAAGGTGTCAAATGTGAAGTGTTGCAAGGATACTATTACAATGGAAACAGAGATATTAGAATAAGAGATGAAGTAAAGAAGTTGTTTGAGTTAAGGTTAAAGTATAAGAAAGAAGGAAATCCTTTGCAAGAAAATATAAAGCTCATTCTGAACAGTATTTATGGCAAAACTATTCTATCTCCTATTGAGTCAAAAATAACCATAGTAGATGACAAAGATGCTATAAGATATGCCATCAGAAACTACAACCATATAGTGAAGTTCGAAGGTTTGGATGGTTCAGATAAAACTATTTTCAAGCTAACGAAAAGCATTTGCAGACACTTTAACTTCTGTCCACTTGGTGTTAATATTCTGTCTATGTCGAAACGTATTATGAATGAAGTATTCTGTACTGCAGAAGATATGGGACTTCAAATATTTTACCAGGACTGTGATAGCATGCATATTTTCAATGAAGACATACCAAAGCTTGCAGCAGAGTTTAAGAAGAGATACGGTAGAGAACTTATTGGTAAAACATTAGGTCAGTTCCATTCTGACTTCGCAGAAATAACACCTGGAAAACAAAGTTTAGCATACAAGTCAATATTTTGTGGAAAGAAGACCTACATAGACTTACTCACTAACGATTTAAATGAAGTTGCATTCCATGCACGTTGCAAAGGTGTCAAACAAGACGTCCTTGCTTTAACAGCAAATGAAATGTTTCCTGAAGCTATACAATGCTATTACAATGAAGATAAGAACATTCACATACCTGTTGGAACATATGACAAAGACTCTGAGTTCAGTTTAATGAAACTTTACAAAGCACTTTATGATGGTCAAGAGATTGGATTTGACTTATGTAAGTCATGTCAACCTTGCTTTGAAGAGAAGTTTAACTTCTCAATAACGACTAAAACAAGCTTTATTCGTAAGTTGAAGTTCTGAGGTCATTTATTTTTGTCAGCAATGAGGTCATGAATGAGGTCAGCAATGAGGTCATGAATGAGGTCATTTATTTTTGTCAGCAATGAGGTCATTCGTGATAAAAATAAAGCTAGCGTAGATTTTACAATACTGCGATGGTAGAGTTTAAGAGTTGTGCTTCAATGTAGAGACAGTCCTTCCCATCTGGAGGCAAGAACACTGGGCAGTTATGGTCATGAGTGGAGAACATGTCTATCCAAAACTCACGATTGAAGCCAGTTAATTTATAGTATTTAGGGTTAGGAAGTGGTGAAGTTCTTGTATGACCAATGAACTCATTTTCAACGCCTTTGGCTATATTAGAGAAAAGAATAGCTTGCTTTCTATCCCAAATGCCAGGTGTTACAATCTTTGAAAATTCATTTTTCCTCGGAAGCATTGCATCATAATTGAAAACATTTTTGAAATCATCACTTGGTTCAGAGATTTGAAATCTTATACGTAATGGATTTTCTTTCTCTTTAGCGACTTCATTGAATGGTGAGAATACAACAAACTGACAGTCATGTGTTCCATCTTCATTTTCATTAAATTCATAATGAAAGTCTATAAGTTGTGGCTGACTACCTTCTTCTTTCAGTTGTGCAAGAAACTCACGTAAAGGCTGTAAAGTTTGTACTTCAATGTTAAACTTTTTCTCGAACATCTCATTAAATGAAGTCATACATTGTTGCAATGTTGTATCGTCTTTAAAGTATTTGTATATGTGAATGTTTTGGGCGCTTAAAGACTGTTCGTCATTTTCTATCTCGACTTGAAGTATAAAGTCAACCTTTCTGAAAGCACGTGTTATATACATATTTGTTATGCCAATGTACTTCTCTTCATTTATGTTCACAATCCAGTCTGTTGGAAACTTAAACGTTACTCTGTTCCCCTTTATTTTGACGTCAGGGTTTTCACTACTGAACGCAACAGATAAAGGTATTTGTCTATACATTTAATTCGGATAAAAATAAACCATTTACTCTTTCTTTGCTTCAGCTTCTTTAGCTTTTGCTTCAGCTTCTTCTCTAGCTTTTTTCGCCAGCAAACGTGGGTTCTTTTGTCTTCCAGCAGCTAATGCAGCAAGTTGTTTTTCACTAAGTTTTCTCTTTGGTCTCTCTGGCTTTTGTTCTTGTTTTTGTTCCTTCAGTTCGGATAAAATTTGCTCACGAATTTCTTTCTTCAATGCTTCAACATCTATGACCCCTTGGGTCTTGTCCGTAGGGCTTGTCTGAGTCATTTGACTGCGGATAAAAATCTAACTTAAAACTTTAACCAATGTAAAATGAGCTTGTCAAAATCAGAGCGAGAGTCTATTATATTAAATGACGCAAGAGGAATACAACATCCTTTCTATTACGTAAGTCAGAGTAAAGATGGTAAAATATACGTAAGAAAAAGAAAGGTTCCATTAGCGAATGCAGAAAGCGACAGCATTAAGGTGTATGGCAAGGGTGAAGCCCATATAAAACATTCTGTTCAAACTGAGCCACCAAAAGAACAAGAAGAAAAGAAGCCAGATGTACTTTCAATAACGAACCAAGAGCTTATTGCAAAGTTCGTGAATTTCATTGAAAAACAAACCGAGTCAAAGAATCCTGACCCGCCAGTGAAAGAAGTTGAGACAAAAGAGAATGTACAGTTCATTGAAAATGTCAAGAAACAACTTCCACCACGAATGCCCAGAAGAAGAGTGAGAATAATGAAGTAAATAGATATTTTTATCTGAAGTAAATACATGCAGAACGAACAGCTAAACGAATTTACTCCAGCAGAGCATATTCATCAGATTCGCTCATATTTCGATATCATAGACAATGCAGTTCAAATTGGTGACACTAATAGAAAATATTCTGACGCAAAGATTCCATCACAACCTGGAACTGCTAAAGATAACACATGGGTAACATTCAATCTCTCACCTCCTGGTGAAAATATGTTGGACCTTTACAATACATTCATTACGTATAAAATGGAAGGTCAATTTATTGTAGATAAAGAAATTGGTTCAGGTTCCAATAAAACAAACCCACCAGGATTTTGGATTGGTTTCGATGACGCTTTCTATGCAGTTGCTGGATATCAAATCCTTGCAAATGGTCGTATCGTATATTCTCAAGACAACGCAAGAGAAGAAGCATATATAACTTCAAACTCACAAACTACCGAACAAATAAAGAAAGTAGATGTTTTCTCAAAGACTCGACATGAAGATGTATGGAGTCATTCGGGAACATGCAGAACAGGACAAATTGTTAGTGGTCCAATTACAGCAGGAAAATCATTTGATTTTAAGCTTCGTTTAAGAATTCCTGTTAGAAGATTCCTTCCATTAGAAGCTATTCGATTTATTCCAGCTTTTGCAGGAAACATTCAGCTTAAAGTAAAGTTCAGTAGCGACGCCTTACAATGCACATCTATATCTGTAAATGATATCATTGCTTTCAATCCAACTCTTAAAGTTGCATTTGCTTCAGATTCAAATCCACCGACAAATAAATTTGTTCCATGGAATGAACCATTCACTATGATAACGAAGGCAGTAGAAGCTAGTGGAACAGTTACTATTACAACTGTAACCCAGCAACTATTTCGAACAAAGATGGATTTTAATGAATGTTTCATTCATCCAAAGTCATTCTCTTTAGACCCTAACATTTATACAGAACTTGTAGAACATTATACAAACGAGGCTTTATGTTTTCCTGTTAAAGTTATGGATTGGATTCCTATGGACGGTTCATTCTCAAAGAATACAGATAGTTCAAGTGCAACATTTACAGCAGCTTATACGCCTATTAATGTTAAAAGTATTTGGGCACTATTTAGAAAGAAAGACAACTATTATGTTAATTTTGAGAACCCTAAGTTTAAATATCTTCAGCTTTCCATGGGAGCTTATGGAAATATGCCTGCAGAACCTGAAAAATCATATGGACCTGTATTTTATGAAATGGTTGCGAACGCTTGCAATACAAACAATGATATGATAGGATTTAATGAAGATGTTATGAGGTCATTGATGGATGATGGTAGTGTGGAACATAAATGGGATAGCTATGACAACACACATTTCTTATGTGGTTTTCCAACAGAAGTGGACTTTTGCTTCCAGCAAGGTCAAACATCTACTGCTCCAATAACATACAAATTGTCTGTTAAAGGACCTATTGAACTAGCAACTGAAAACGTACCAAAGCCACTTATTGGATTTATGAGTGATTGTTGCTTTGCCATTCAGGTGCGTGCTAATGGCATCCCCATAATAAGATTAGATGACTATAACTTAGCTACGGACGACAGTGAGGAATAAAGGATGAACGTTTATTTTTAAAGCTTATAAATGAGTTCTTCATCAAGCTCTCGTGAACCTTCACCATCTATGAAACAAACTTTACCAAACGATTATGGAGCACCTATTGAATATTTCTTACGAGCTGCACAATGGCAAAGAGCAGTCTCACCAAGGTTAGGTGTTCCACCAGCTCCTGTCAAAAAATAGCATTTGGTCAAGTCCTTATATAAGATATGGTCTCCCACTAGGTTTGCTAGCTACAGCAGGAGCAGTTATGATGTTGAAAAGAAATAAAGCAAATGTTGTAAATAATACTGAAGTAGCTGAAGTTAAACAAACTCCAACACCTTCGCCAAAACCAACGTCAAAACCAACGCCTTCACAAGCAAAACCTTCAATGACTCCTGAACCTATGGAAGTACAAACTCCTGTTCAAAAGTCAACTCCTAAACCGACTCCAACATTTAAACCAGAACCTACTCCTCAAATAAATCGTAAAACTCCTGCGTTTCCTTACTGAAAAAATAACGTTATTTTTATTTTATTTGAACATTTTATTTAGAGTAAAATGACGACTAAAGTCACTGAAGCAATGAAACAAAAGTTTATGGTAGAATACATTAAATCAGGAACTATTCCAGAAGGTTTTTACATTCATACTATGAAGGATGGTAGAGTTCAGTTTAGAAAGATAAAGCAACCATTAGATAGAGAAGGTATATTAAGGAAGATTAAACTTCATGAGGACAACATTGCTGAACTTAAGAAGAAGTTAGAAGAGTTGGAGAAAGGAAGAGAGTTATAAAGCAATGAATTCAACAGGGTGAAAAAACAGGTGAAAAAAGAGGTGAGATCTCACCACTTCACCTAAATTTATTTTTGTGCTATGTTTTCATACGCGTGAGGGTGGTGATATAATTAATTTTTAAGTTTATTTTTTATTTTATTTTTATATAAATGACGAAAACTATTGAGATAACAAACTACAACGGTCATGAGTTCAAGAACTTGTTCTTCGTTCCTCGTGAAAATACATTCTATCAGATACGAGGGAGAAAGGGTAAAGTTAGTTTGAGCGTTTATGACAAAGAGCATTATGGAAGATATATACAAGCAATAGATACAAACGGTAAGTGTGTTTCATTAGCTTTGTCAAAACTTATAAACATTAATTATGACAGTGACTTTGACCTATATGAAGAAGAAAGTGAGTCAGAAGATTATGAGCTGTTATGTGAAGCACAGCAATGGGAGGAGTTGCAATACTTTTGTAAGTGAGAACATTAATGGGAACGTTAGTGAGAACGTTTATTTTTTACATTAGTGAGGTGAAGAGGTTGGCGGCTTTGTAAATATTTAAGGTTAAATTAGTGTTATCGTTTGTGTTGTAAAATATACGTTAACGGTTTTGTAAAGTGTCAAACCGTTATTTTGGGTAAGGTGGAACGCAGTGCCACCATAACCAAGATAGGTATACTAACTTTTGCCAGACGAGTTGGATGATATTCAACAAATCAAGGACTCAGTTCAGCAGTTCATTGCAAAATACAACAATACACCACATTTATCTCTCAATATTAATCCAAAAACGAATAGTAATTACACTCCTAACGAATTATTCGAAGTTTCAAAATTTTGGTACGAGCCAGAAATGCAAAAATGGGAGTTATATATCAAAGACGAATGGGTCTTAGCAAAATTTGAATAATTACATCATTTTAAATGACTACTAAACAATTTTATTTATGATCAAATTTTATATATTTTTTTGGATCAAATCCATTTTAATAGAATTTATATACTATTCATCTATTAGTAAACACTACCGTATATTATTTTTTAAGCTATCTTATTTTTTGAAATTTTATTCAAATCTTTGGTCGCAAGAAGAATTGCATGATAAATAAAAACATTTAATCAAAGTCAATTTTATTTTTCATATTCAAATGGACTGAGTGTTAACATTTAACATTTTTTGCTAATTGTCGTCAAAAATTAGGCGTAAAGCAAAAATTGATATTTCATATGGTTTTATGATAGATAAGCATTATATTCCCACTCATTATATTCGTAAATTTTGAGGTTTATCCTTCGCTTTTAAGATCATTGAATTTGATTTTTATATAAAATAGTTATATATTAGAAAATAATATGAGTTTATGTGATATTATTTTTCAGAAGATTTCATTCTATATGCCTATGAAAAGTACTCTCAAAACTAACTTTTTCCTAATTATAATTAAATCTAGAATATTGTATTATGCTTAGTATTATTTCATTTTTCTCATTCAATTTAGAATTTACAAATGTCAAAAAATTGAGAGCTGTCACTTTTGATGAATTTCTGTTTATTACAAAATATCTTTATTTTTTTGAACTACACTTCTCATTTGTAATCTCTTATTTCATGAATTTAAACCATTTTAATAGAATCACAAATTTCAACTTAATCATAACAGATTTGTTTCATTGTTGATATATGAACAAATAATACTAATATTAAATCTTACTGACTCAGTTGCTTCCTAAATAATGAAATGAATCATAGAATTGAGCATATTAGAATTGGCAATTTTTTTCATTGTTGATATATGATCAAACGATAAATATTAATGATTACATTGCTTCCTGAATAATGAAATCAATCTCGTTCATGATATCTTACTTTTTAATTTTTTAATGTCGGATTCAGACAGTAATTCTAACAAATACAGTAAACTGCGAAGTATCTATAAATACTACATTGATTCATACGATGCGTTGTATCAGCTGCAAACGGAAAAAGAAGAAGAATTAAATTCGATTTACAAAATGATCAAAACAAATTTGATTGATTCAAAGAAACGTCTTCCACAAATTTTAATAAAAGATATTTTGGATATCATTCCGTATAATAATCGCTATACAAAGTCATATTTATATCTTGCCAAACTAATATCAGATGATTATCAAATCAAAGAGATCCACAATGTTAATCTCGTTTCAAACTTTATGTTTTACAAAGAGTATGGCATTAAATTAGACAAGTCTGCTGATTTCGAAAAAATTAATTCAGAAAATCTCGACATTCTTAAAGAAAATATAATTTACATAGCAATTATGAATAATGACCTAAAAGTATTTATTCCATTGACTGAAAGAACAGGATTTAATGAAAATCAACAACTTAAAAGCAGCTTATTTAGAGATTTTAATAGACTTATAGAAAACACTGGTGAAAATACATTTTCATTACTTGAATTATGCTGTTACTATGGAGCAGTTGATTGTTTCAAGTTCTTAAGAACTAAATTTAACTCAAAAATAATAAAAAAATGTCTCAGATTTTCATTTTTGGGAAGAAAGCCAGATATAATGAGTGAATGTTTGAAACATCAAGAACCAGATAAAGAATGCATGGAATATGCAATTATTTCACATAACATTGATTTTATAACATTCTTAGTGAATGAGTATGGTTTAAGTATCGACTTATTTGCTTGCGGAAATTATAATAATCTTGATTCATTTTTAGTTTTTTCGATCAATCGAATATTTTAATCAGCTGCTTGGTTTATTCTCCGATGTTTAATATTACATCCCTTGACGAATATTTCCTTTCATTAGGTGTAGATATCAATAAAAAACTTTTAGACGGAAAAACTGCTCTTCATATTGCAGCACTTTATAATAATAAAGAAACTGCTGAACTTCTTATTTCACACGGTATAAATATCAATGAAAAAGATGAAGACAGAGAAACCGCTCTTCATAAAGCAGCAATTAATAATAGTAAAGAAACAGCTGAACTTCTTATTTCACATGGCATAAATATCATTGAAAAAAATTATAGAAAAGAAACTGCTCTTCATTATGCGGCACATTATAATAGCAAAGAAACAGCCGAACTTCTTATTACACATGGTGCAAAAATCGATGAAAAAGATAACGATGAAGAGACCGCTCTTCATTTTGCAGTGAAATATAATAGGGAAGAAATAGCCGAACTTCTTCTTTCGCATGGTGCATATATCAATACAAAAGACAAAGATGGAAAAACCGCTCTTCATTATGCAACATCGAATAATAATAAGGAAATAGCTGAAAATATTATTTAACATGGTGCAAATATCAATGAAAGAGATAATTCCGGAAATACAGCTCTTCATATTGCAGCACATTATAATAGGAAAGAAATAGCCGAACTTCTTTTTTCGCATGATGCAAATATCAATACAAAAGATAAAGATGAAAAAACCGCTCTTCATTATGCAACACATTATAATAATAAGGAAATAGCCGAAAGTTTTATTTTACATGGTGCAAATATCAATGAAAAAGATTATGATGGAAAAACCGCTCTTCATAAAGCAGCACAATTTAATAGGAAAGAAATAGTCGAACTTCTTATTTCACATGGTGCAAATATCAATGAAAGAGATAAAGACAGAAAAACCGCTCTTCATATAGCAGCAAGTAATAATAGTAAAGAAACTGCCGAACTTCTTATTTCATATGGTGCAAATATCAAAACAAAAGATAAAGATGGAAAAACTGCTCTTCATTATGCAAAATGTAATAATAATAAAGAAATAGCCGAACTTCTTATTTTACATGGTGCAAATAAATGTTCTAACATATAATGATGATTCATCAAGTTATTTTAGAATTTTATTTAGCATCAGGCAAAGATAAAATACTTCTCATATAGTTATTGAATCTATTAATGCAAACCTAATGAATAATTTCGAATGATACACGTAAATATTTATAATTGGAATAATATGGCAGATTAAACTTAATGTCTTAGTAGGGCGAAATAATAATTAAATGATTTTACTAACAAATAAAAATTAAATTAGTGTTTGCACAATAGTTTGCATTTAGAACAAAGGAATCGACCACATTTATCACAAGTGTCGATTGATTTGTTCAAATCGCTTCCACAAACACAGCAGTTGACGCAATATGTCTTCTTGAGAGGGTATTCAACTGATAAATCAAGACTTTCAACGCCGTACCATCTTTCATCTGATGAAACAAATACAAGACGTGAACATTTGTCTTGTCACACACGTATAACATATTAATTAGACACATTTGAATATCTCAGGGTATAAAAATTTATAACAATAAAAGATTTACATTAAATTAAAGATCTGGTAAATCCCTTTCGACATTATCTTTCTTGTTACAATATGAACAAGAGCAACCTTTACAGCATTCACAGCAACATAAGATAAAACCTGAAATTATAGCAATTAAAAATGGGCCACCAATAACTACACCTAAGATTATTTTGCCTTCTTTGTCTAGTGGAGCTCCATATCCAACAGAAATATCTGGGTAGTAATAAATTATTGGTTCATAAAATCCATATGATGAGTACAATTTACTAATATTGACTTGATTAAATGGGCCAATATTGCAAATAAAACTTGAATTATATGTTGTTAAGAAACTGAAATTGGTAACGCTTTGATTTAATGTTATGAATTCAGGATCATTAACAATGGCAGTAGCAACATTATACGGAGCAGAAGAAGTTCCTTTCAAATTAACCTTCAATTCATTTTTACGGCCATTAATGATAATAAGATGGTGCGAAAAAGGCTCGCCTATGTTGAAATCATTATAAATCGTATTGTTGTCTCCAGTTATGTAAACTTGAGCGGGTCCATCAACTTCAATTTTCTTATTTTTGGCAGTTATATTGACAACGCAAAAGCAATCAGTATTTATATACACATCTTTAACTGTAGATGCATCTAATTTATAATATTGTGATGAATTACACTTGATTTTCAAATCCGTATTATTTCTCAAGTTCGTAATAGTTACTGGTTCACTTGAAAGAATAGCATCAAGCTGACTATAATAATCCATTGTTTGATTCTCTTGAGTATAGATCCGTATTTTTCCCAAGTGAGCGGGGTATCTCTAATCCCAGCCCTATCGTCCTCCTAGTGTCAGTTTTTAATATAAAATCCAAAATTTTTAAAAAAATAAAAATTTCGAGAAATTTTTTAAGTTTTTTTTTCTTTGATTTCAATAATACAAAATAAATTTGGGAGTAAAAAGACACTATTTAATGAAATTCATATGAGTGAATGTGGATAAATACTCTCAGAACATACAATTTATATATTTTTTCTTTATGTTATCAACTAATTAGTGATAATTTTTTTTGAATCAGATTTTTTTTTCATTAAAAACATAATATATAACGCAATAATGATGTACACATACGTATCTACACATCAAAATATAAAGTTTGTTTTGGTCTGGGCATCCCAACCAAAAATTCTTAAAAAATTGAATAAAATTGAATACTTGGGGCTGGGATACCCAGCCCGAAACCGAATTGAATTTTTTGAATTAAAGAATATATTTACGTATTTATAATATATATGTGATGTTTATAAAAAATACTAAATTTTTGTAAAAAAAATTCAATTTATTCAAAACGTACATTAAGTGATCACTTCATTAGTAGGATCAGCGATCCTACTAAATGGTGAGAATGCCACTAGATAAAAAGGGAGTCCTTGGAGCTCTTGATCTCTTGTCAGTAGAGTCCATAATGAGGCATGGCATCTACTGATTAGAGATCAGAGCAATCCTACCTTACCTTCAGGAGCTACAAAGCTCCTAATCGTTACGAGAGGGAGCCTTGGAGCTCCTGAAGCTCATCAGCAGAGGCTATTTACCATTTGGGCCTCTTCTGATGAAAGATGCGAAGCTCTTCTACGAACCAGGAGCTCCAAAGCTCCTAATCCTTACGAAAGGGAGCTTTGGAGCTCCTGAGTCTTCATCAACAGAGTCCCAGATGGTAAATGTCCTATGCTGATGAAAGATGCGAAGCACATCTTCGAACCAGGAGCTTCAAAGCTCCCATTCCTTACGAAAGGGAGCTCTGGAGCTTCTGAAACTCCTTTTATTATCAGATAGGACAGTTTTCTTCTGAGGCTTCTCATCAAATCTAAGACTTCAGAAGAAAGCTGTCTTATCCGTGTATACTTACATTCTAATTGACTACAAGTGTACAACTTTAAGGCAGAGATTATCCGAGGCCTCTCATCAAATGAGGGACCTCGGATAATCTCTGCCTTAAGTAGTCAAATAACTTTTCTGACTATTCAGGAACAAGAGAACAAGAGTTGGAATACTTTAAGGCAAGGTTCTTCCGAAATCTCTCATCGAATGAGAGACTTCAGAAGGACCTTGCCAAATCCTTGAACACTGATATCCTTGGAACTGAGCTAGGACCAAGGAGAAGTAGTGTACTATAGCTCACGATGGTAATCTCGGAATTACTTATATTGCCACATGCACAATATCTATTCAGCCAGACTCCTATATACAAGAAGTCAGGCTGAATAGATATTGTGCATATGGTTTGCAGAACTCTAATAACACATAAAATTTTGTTATCCCAAAAAGGTGACATTTTGGGTGTATCGTCCATCCCAGGGATGCAAAAATCACATCACCTTGTATCTATACTCTTGAGACAATACAATTAATGATAATAGCATTTGAAAAAATGACTCAGAGAGCAAGCGGATCCGATATAAAATTTTTAAAATTTTCCCTTATTTCTTTGAAAACATACAAGACATGTTAAAATTAATCTCTAGGACAAGAAGAACCTATAAGAAATTGTTACAGTTTAATAATTTTTCTGATAGTATTGTTAAAATCATATGAATAATAGCAAAATATATAAATTTGTTAAAAATTTATGGTTTAATTCAATTATTTCAAAGGACATGAGACATCATTAAGATAATTACAAGATCTTTTTTCACATACAGATTAAATAAAATGTATTCATCTTTATCTAATTTATCAAATATTATTCTCTCTGGTATTGAATCAAATATTTCTACATTAAATGCGGAAAAATTTGATGAAGACATTCCAAACATCATCGACATAATTATGAAAGTTGTTACGAAAAACTCAAAGAACGTTACTATCGCAACAAACTTCTTTTCATGCTGATCATATTTACTGCCTAAATCTGTTGAAATGATTAAAGAAGTTCGAGCAGTAAGAGCTGCTTCTTTGATATTTTTAGTCAACCAGAAAGAGGATAGTGTTGTTAGAGTTGTTATTTCTTTTTCATTGCAGTGAAGAACGAATTATCCAGTATCGTCTCTTTACATATGTATGTAGACAATCAAGAGATAATATTTGATTTAAATTTAATACTGATATTGTTGAAAAAACATCAAAAACTAATAAAAATAATTTTAAACAATATTTTTACTGTTAATTACTTAGTGTTTAAGAGGAAAGTATCTAAGGGAGAAGCTTGTGTGGATATTTGGATAATTTTCTTCTTGCTTCAAAATTATCTGGACATAATGTACTACCCAGATTTGCTTTACTTTTACCACCTCTCGAAAGCTGGGGACACCGCCTATCGTTGGGAGTAGCTATTAAATAGAACCACCAAGGGTATTTTTCGAACTGCTGGTGTAGTGTAGTGGAAACATCTGACATAATGATTCGTTATGCTAAGGTTTGATTCCCATTTACCCAATTTTTTTCTTTTTTGGATCATGAATTTTTTTTTGGGTCACTATAAGATTTGTTTCATGTTCTAAATCTGCTGCATATGTAATCTATTTTTATTTACCTATTTTTTAAAAATCTATTGGATTGCCAAATTTGAATATATTTAAAATCATAAAAATCCAACAAAACTATAAATATATGTTTTATGCATAGTGCCGATACTCAAATATCAGATTACTTAGATCCATGAATAATATCCGAATTTTTTTTCTTAAAATTAAACTTCAAAACTTCTTGCAATCTTATTCTTCATCAATTGTAAATTTTTAAAACCATTTTTTAAAATAATTTTGCGTAAATTTTATTCTCATGTTGTTTTAATCGAAAATTGATACATTTTCAAAAAAATAATATTGACTTATGAAATTCATTTTTAAGGTGAAATAGTATTGTTTTTATTAAAGTATATGAATAATATATAAAAAATTAATGAATAATATAAGCAGATTTTTAGTTTACAAAACAAATATGAGCAATGCAATTTCAAACTTTTGCTGGCAATTTCGATATTGCTCAAGTTTGTAGTATTTGTGATACCTATAACATCGGCTTAATCAAAATTCGATTTTTCTTATGAGTTATTGAGAAAATTTGATTGCAATGAGAAGGATTTCGACGTTTTTGATAAACTAAGAGCTGAGCTTTAGGGGTTCAGTTCATTTATGGCTGTAGTTTGATGCGTAGATCTCTTTTTTATTGTAAATTCTTTCAGCATGGAGATCGAGAATGAATCTTTTGAGAACTTTATGAGTTTTTACACCCGTAAAGAGGTCCTTCGAGGAAAGATAGTCCAGACTACATGAAGATGTGGGTTAACCAAAAAAATCCGATGGTTTCCCCATATTCATGTAGATCTTCGAAAAAATGAGCACCAAAAAAGCCAAAAAAATAGGCTTTTTATTGGATTTGTACACTAGATCAATAATCTATTTAGGATCTGACACTCTTTTTAGCCAGAGATATGAGGTCCTTTCTAGGAAAACGATCTATTCATCCATAAAAAAAATGAATTATCGTTTTCCCCAGAAATTACATGGGGAGTGGTAAAAGTAAAGCAAATCTGGGTAAAAAGAATTGACTAGGAGCATCTGTGCTAAGAACCAATTAGACCTTTTTGTTATTTCCAATCGGAAATTTCTTCAGAGTTTTTATCCTTCTGTGAAAGCTCGTGCACAAAAGCAGTTGTCCGTGGTAGTTTTACTACGTTAATGCTAATTTTTTCTTTATTCAATGGAGAAATCTTTGCAAAAGGATATGTTATCATGATTACTAAAGTCAATTAGTGTAGCTGAATGAGTCTGTGATATTGGTTTGCGGGTAGATAGCCTGAAACGAAAATAAAGTCGATCGTTTTTTTCCTATAAAAAAATCTGCCTCCTAGAATTTCTGTTTTATCCCCTCAAATGCAACAAAAAATTATACTTTTACTAATTGTTAAATAAGCATATTAGAAAATATATAATAGATCACATTTTAACTATAATAAACTTTTTTTCATTTCTACAAATGCTTCCTGTTAAGCCTAAATTGGTATTTATGGAAGAAAATAAGCCAGTAATTAGAGCTGAAAAGCCCGATATAGACCTTATGGAGATGGCTAAAGAAATAGAAAAGAGATGGAAAAAGTTATCAAAAGAAGATAAATAAAAATATAAAGATAAGGCTAAAGCAAACAAAGAAGCCCAAAACAAGAAATCTCAGTTGGAAGGTATAGATCCAAAATTTGCAGATTTATTTGACGAAGATAAAGAACCATCAGAATGGGATAGCGATGAATATGAAATACCATATGACAAGTATTTCACGTGTCCAAAAGGTCTCAGATCAACACCTTTCATAGAGTTTTGCAAAGATTTTCATAAAAAACTTATTCGTGAATATCCAGGTGTTACTGCTAATGATGAATATAGATGCACTCTTGGCACCTGGAATAAAATGTCAAAGAAGGAAAGGCATAAATACTTTAACCGTGCTAGAAAAGCTAATACAAAATAAAATTATCTCTTTTTTTTATTCAATAGCTTTCCTTTTTTTCTAATATTTTTAGTACATACTAAAATGCTACTATTATTTTAGTTCAAAAAGGGTTTTAGTGAATTTTATAAAAATTATTTTATTCTCTTAGGATAAGCTTACCGTAACCATCCTAAATAAAAAGAATCACCGGAATTGTTGATGACTTCTTTCTTTGAGGTTTTCGATTTTGTCTTCTGTTTGCTTAAACTCTTGGAAGCCTCTTAAGAAAGTTATCTCCATCTTTTCATGAATGATTTTCATGATGTCATCCAAGCGAATGATTTTAGAAGTAATAGCATGAGAAAGTAAATCTTTCCATGTATCATTCGCTTCGTAAATAGTTACATATTGTTTGTAATCATCAATTTCTCTGATTTCTTCATGAGAATTCATCAGCCAATCAGCTTTATTTCCAAATGCTTTGAAAATTGATGAATAATATTTATCAGCTAAAGCTTGGTTCTCAGTGAATCTCTTATCGATGCACAGACTCTGTAAGTGTTCAATAGCATCATTAACGAAGTTTTGTCATCGCCATGCAAATTAAGAATTCGCTTTTGTGATTCGTAATGACCGATATTGAATCTACTGTAGAAATATGCTGATACAATCTCGAAATGTATTGTTGGTCCATATATCTCTGGAGGAACAATTTGGAGATCCGTTTGCATTCAGGAGCTGTTAATCCAATCCTCTTCGGCTTCAAAGGGTCTGAATTTGGAAGGGTTCCAGTTAGTGATTCAACGGAATATTCGAAGTTTTGGACAAATTTCTGGTATCATTTGTGGCATGTTCTCTTTAAATATTTCTTTGTCATTTTATTACCTCGCGTTCATGTCAACCAATTTCGTACAAAAAGCTGTGATGGTTCTTCAATTTCCAAGATCTTTCTGTAACAATAATTGTTGGTTTAAGAAATAAAAACATATATAGGAAAAATAAAAAAAAATTTTTTATTAACTAACCAATTTAAATATTAACTTCATCATCATCTTTGACATCAACAGCGAAGTATGCATCTTTTGAAGATCCTTTCTTTCGCCTGTAGATGAGGAAAGCAATAGCAATTCCTCCAATAACAATAAGGCAAGCAAAAACTATGCAAAGAATCATAAGTAGATTCCAATTCCTCTTCTTTCCATTTGCAGAGTCTGATGAATCTGTGATGTCGTAATGTTTAGAACTAGATTGGAAATATTTATATTTCTCGCCAAGAGGAAGTTCCATTTTAACTAGTAATGATGCTTCTTTTGGTTCCTTTGTTTCAAATGAAACAACAAATGAATTCAGATGGGAAACATTTGCTACAGATATTTCTTCTCCTGCAGTATTGTAGATATGTGTTGTTATGTCTCCTTTAGATTCAACAGAAGATTTGACTTGATATTCATTAACTATTGAAAAGAAGATGCAGGACTGCATATTAGAAGTGATAGTTAAGTTGTTTGTCTTAGCTTCTGCTGTTGAAGCGTAGTAAACGTTTGGTCCTGATTGATAATAAAATTGTTTGCATTTATCAGCAAGATTTCCATAATTAAACGCCGTCATCTTTATTGAGGAAACATTTGGTGATTTTAGTTTGAGTTTTCCTTCTTTATCAAAGTTGATGGCAAATTTATGAGATTTTCCAAGAACGGAATGATGAGATTTCTGACCCATATCAGTAACAGCTTTAATAGATGATATATCTTCCATCTTTGGATGCAACAAAACCATTGTATTCTTTGCAAAAGCATAACAATTTGGTTTCTTTGCAATTGAAAGGGAATCATCATTATAAGAGGTTGAAGAGCAACTTTCTGTTTCCCATTCATCATCATCGTACTCATCATCTGATGTTTCGTGGTAATCATATTCATCTTCTGGAGAAGGTGAGTCATCGTCGTCATCTGTATCATCATCGATCTCAACTGCTACTTTACTTTCGGATATCGCCGAAACATCTGAAGAATGATGATAAAATCCCTTGGAGAATTTGTAATCTGAAGGATACTTTTTATTATCAACGACTTTAGTGATGCCAGCTTTGCCATTTGTAGAATTTTCGCCTAATTTAAGAGATAAGATCATACTTCCTCCAACAAAGGAAGGATCAACCGTATTATTTGAATTTATTGTCATTTCTGGAGTAGAAACAGAAAAAACACTATCATCATTGAGATTGGAAGACATGAATGTGTAAGTAACTTGAACAGCTGTTGCCGAAAGAAGACATCTTGTTTCTCCTGCTTTAATTGGAACGTTTCCGTCAGAGCCAATAACGATTTGATCTTTAACATTCAATGCTACATCGACGGATTTGCAGTAATCCTTGATAACATAGAAAACTGTATAATAAAGATCTGGATAGGCGTGGTAATCAGCTTTGATATCAAGAGATTGAACATTTTTGTATATTTGTGCAGGATGTTTATCAGATTTGATCTCAAAATTCTCTGGATTATGTAAAACTAAGTAAACATCGTATTGAATCTCTGAATTTTGAGGTTGTGGAACAGAAATTGTAGTATACTCATCGCGTGAGAGAGCAACATAGCTATCCCCTAACGATAAACCAATTTGCTTTGCTCTGATAAGAGAACTTAGAAAGAAAAACATTATATCAAAATAAAAAAAATTGAATGACATTCAATTTTTATCTCAAATTTTTATGATAGTTTACTAATAAAAGATCCCGATAAGCATCTCAATTTTCAACCTAAAAGTGTAAGGGCCCTCCATATTGCGGTTCAGAGTAAAAAATCCTCAGAAATAGTAGAAATTCTATTATCTCATGGAGCTGATGTTAATTTGAAAGATAAATACGGAAACAGTGCTCTCCATATTGCAGCTGACAATATGTCATTTATTAAAAATTCCGAACTCCTTATTTCGCATGGAATAGATATTAATGCCAAAAATTTTGATAATAAAACTGCTCTGCATTTCTCATCAATGCATGAACAATGCAATGAATTGACAGAACTTTTAATTTCACACGGATTAGATGTTAATTTCAAAGATAAATATGGAAAGTCACCACTTCATTATGCAGTTGAAAACAACGAAGGAGATAAAACAATTAAAATTCTTATTAAAAATGGCGCTGATATCAATATTAAAGATGCTAACGAGCAAACTCCTCTCCATATTGCAGCAATAATGCATAAAAGAAAACTACTCGAAACTCTTGTTGCCAATGGTGCAGATGTTGATATTAAAGATAATCACGGGAAAACAGCTCTTCATTATAATGTAGAAAAGAAATACGAAGATATTGCAAAATTCCTGATCTCAAATGATGCAGATGTAAATGCCAAGGATTCCGAATATAATATACCTCTTCATATTTCATGTGAAAAAGCAAATCGGTATAATTTATCTCGGCTTCTTGTTTCTAATGGATCTGATATCAATTCGAAAGATATTAATGGTAGAACACCACTTCATATAGCGATCCAACATCGTTGCAATGAAATTGCAAAACTTCTTATATATAACGGAGCAGATCCTAATATTAAGGACAATAATAGAAAAACACCACTGCATTATTCAGTAGAAAGAAATAATAAAGAATGTACAGAACTTCTTATTTTGCATGGAGCAAATATTAATGACTTTTATAACTTCTTATAACATGAAATAAAACTACTCACCATATTGCTTCTCAAGACGATCGACATATTGTTGTTATGTTTATAAACGTCAATCAGAATATCATATGGAATATTGTTCTTATCCTATTCGGCGACAACGTTTTTATCGTGCAGTTCGTCAAGCATTTAGATTTTTTTTCTAATTAGTTTGGGATTTTTCTGTGTATTATCTTTACAAATACTTATGCTTTTTTTGCTTATTTTTAGAGACTTTATAGGCGATGCGATACTCATACTATTGATTTCCAAAATATTGAAGGAATGAGCACTTGTAGCCCCATTAATTAGTATAAGTATGTTCATCACCATGAACTATTATTGTTTTAATTTTATTATTAATTGATCATGCAAAAAACATACTGAAAAGCAGATCAGAAGGTTGAATAAACTTTAATTTGATAAGAACCAAGTTTGCTATATCAGATATTTATCCTCAGATAAGTTGCTTTGAAAAGACTGGTTCCCAACTTTTCAAAATTGTGAATCTATTCAATTTATCTGAGGAAAATGATCAAACTCTCAATAGTTAGAAATCTTGTATTTCCACAATTTTTTATCATAAAATTTGTATCGGCAGAATTAGTTTTTTTACAAAATTTCTTGGCACTTTTTTGTACGGCTAACAATATTTTAAAATCATGTCGAACAAACGTGATAAATCGAATGATGAAAATCAGCTTTGGCAATCTCGTGTTGACGAGCTCAAGGGCTACGAGCAGGAGATTAACAAGACATGGGAAGACCAGAAGATCTACGAAGTCGATGCTCCAGAAACAGGCAGAAACGAAGATCATTACATGATTACATTCCCATTCCCATACATGAACGGTCGTCTTCACCTTGGACACCTTTTCACAATCTCCAAGGCTGAATTCGCTGTTCGCTATCAGAGAATGAAGGGAAAGAAGGCTCTCTTCCCATTTGCCTTCCACTGCACAGGTATGCCAATCAAGGCTTCTGCTGATAAGCTCAAGCGCGAACTCGAAACAGGCCACGCAATCAAGGCAGCAGATTCATCAAAGGTTCTCAAGTCCAAGATGGCATCAAAGACAGAGAAGAACGCCTCACAAGTCGAAATCATGAAGCACATCGGTGTTCCAGAGAACGAAATCCCAGAGTTTGTCGATCCACTCAAATGGCTCCACTACTTCCCACCATATGGTGTTAAGGATATGAAGCAGTTCGGTGCTGCTGTTGACTGGCGCCGTTCCTTCATTACAACAGACGTCAATCCTTACTTCGACGCTTTCGTCAAGTGGCAATTCAGAATTCTCAAGGAGAAAGGCTACGTAGTCAAAGATAAGAGACCAACAATCTGTGATCCATCCAACGATCAGCCATGCATGGACCACGATCGCTCATCTGGCGAAGGTGTCCAACCAACAAACTATACACTCATCAAGATGCAGCTTGTTGACCCAGTCAAGGTCGATGAGCGCTTCTCACAATGCGGCGATGCTAAAGTCTTCCTTCTTGCCGCTACATTACGTCCAGAAACAATGATCGGACAGACAAACTACTGGGTTAAGCCAGGAGAGACATACGACGTCGTCAAGGCCAAGAACCTTAACGAATACTACGTTGCTGGCACTCGCTGCGTCCAGAATCTCATTGCCCAGGAATATGTCGAGAAAGCAGACCCAATCTTCGAACTCGAGTCCAACAAGCTCTTAGGTGCCGAATGCACAACACCATCCATCAAGGGCGCAATCCGCGGTTTCCCATTAGAAGGAATTTTGATGACAAAGGGCACAGGAATTGTTACATGCGTTGCATCTGATGCTCCAGCAGATCTTCAAGGCATTCTTGATCTCAAGAAGAACAAACCAATGCGCGAAAAGTACGGAATCAACTTAGATTGGTTCAATTTCGAAATTGTCAAGATCATCAACTCTCCTAAATACGGCGACTTCGCAGCTGAAGCCACAATCAAGGAAGTCGATGCAGATCCAGCATTCAAGAAGGCTACAAAGGCAGAAAAGCTCGAAGAAGCCAAGCATCGCGCTTACATGGATGGATTCAACAATGGTACAATGATCTACGGCCCATTCGAAGGCAAGCCAGTCAAAGAGGCCAAGGAACTTGCCAAGAAGCAGATGATTGCCGAAGGATCAGCCATCGACTACTACGAACCAGACACAACAGTCATTGCCAGAACCGGCGCTGAGTGTGTTGTCTGTTTGATGGACCAGTGGTACCTTCTCTACGGCACACCAGAGTGGAAGCAGCAAGTTGTCGACCATTTCGCAACAATGGAGTGCTACCATCCAGAAATCCGCGAGAAATTCAAAGCCTGCTTCGACTGGCTCTCCGCCTGGGCATGCTCTCGTCAATACGGTCTTGGCACACGTCTCCCATTCGATGAGCAGTATCTCATTGACTCTCTTTCTGACTCAACAATCTACACTGCTTTCTACACAATTTCACACTTGTTGCAAGGTGACTTAGAAGGCTCCAAACCAGGCATCTGCGGCATTAAACCAGAATTAGTCAACGACGACTTCTTCAACTATGTCTTCAGAGATGGACCAATGCCAACAACAATTCCAGAAGACTTACTCAAGAAGTGCAAGCGCGAGTTCGAGTTCTTCTACCCATGCTCATGCAGAGTTTCCGGAAAGGACTTAGTCACAAACCACCTCACAATGTGGCTCTACAACCACGCAGCTGTCTTCGATCCAAAGTATTATCCACTCGCTGTCAGAGCTAATGGTTTCTTGAACTTGAACAACAAGAAGATGTCAAAGTCCGAAGGCAACTTCTTAACTGTTGTTGAGTCTATCGAGAAATACTCTGTCTCAGCAACAAGAATCGCTTTGGCTGATGCTGGTGATGGCTCTGCTGATGCAAACTTCACAGATATCACTGCTAAAGGAGCAATGGCAAGATTATTCAACTTGATCAACGTCATCAAGTTCCCACCACAAGAATCAAGAAATGAAATCGAGAACTTCTTCGATAAGCTCTTCGACGCTAAGCTTGCAAAGATCATCACAGACACAGACAACGCTTACGCAAAGATGGCTTACAAGGATGCTCTCAAGGCTTGTTTCTTCGATCTCCAGAACGCTTGGTCCGACTACAACTCATCATTGGAAGGTGTCCCGATCTCTTCAATTCTTAGAGAGAAGTACATCAACTATTCATTGTTGTTGTTGACACCAATCGCTCCACAGTTCACTGACTACTGCTGGACAAAGTTGTTGGGCCATGAGAAGTCAATTGTTTTGGAGCCATTCCCATCATCATGGTCATACGATGGAAGATTGTTCTTCGAGGAAAGATTCTTGCAGAAGACATACAAGACAATCGGTTTCAGAATCAAGAAAGGAAAGCAGTTGAACACTGCTGCTGTCTTCATCAAGAACGATTTCACAGAAGTTCAATTACACGTTCTCGCAATCTTGAGAAAGCACTGGGATCAGAAGAACAACCAGTTCGATGACCAGACAGTTATGAAGGAAATCCAAGCTGATGAAGTTCTATCTAAGGCAAACAAGAAGGAGTACATGGCTTTCCTCAACTTCTACAAGGAAGCTGTTCCGGAGTTCGGCCCATTCTTACTCGCTGACAAACCAGAAATTAACCAATTAGAGTTGTGCAACAACAACAAGTCTTGGTTCACAAAACAGTTGTCAGCTCAGGGAATTACAAACATCGAGTTCTACGATTCTGTTCCAGAAGGAGATCTTTGGGATAAGACAATTGTTGAGCAGGCTCAGGTTTACATCCCAACTGCTAATGTAATTCTCGTTCAATAAAAATAAATCACTTTTTTTCTTTTTAAATTATAACATGTTATAAATGAAACTTCATTAATCTTTAAGTGTATCACTTTCTGTTATATCTTTATTTTATTAACAAAAAAATACAACAGCCAAATGAGGTACAAGGTACTGAATTATAATAACTTTTTCCCGATCAAAAATATTAACTTTTAATTATAGAAAATTAGGATATAAAGAATAGGGGTCAAAAAAAAATGAAAGAATACTTTTGGAAAAAAATTGTATGAATGTGATTTTTTTCCTTTACAGGAGGTTGAATTGAATCATAGTTACAAAACGGAGAACTATAACTACTCGATTCCAGTTTGAATTAAATCGGTTTGATTCAATTTTGTGATTCATTCAAAACAACAGAAATTCCATAATATAGGGACTTTTGAGATTATGCTGTAACTTTCTTTATAATTGAAATTGAAAATTTTTTAATGGAATTTTTTAAAAATTTTAATTGGAATTTTTCAAAATTTTTTATGTCTGCTCAAGACATCAACTCAGATAAATACGGTGAATTGAGAAGTACCTATGAATACTATATTGATTCATATAATGCACTATATAAGTTAAAGGTGACAAACGAAGAAGAATTAATATCGATTTACAATATGATCAAAACAAATTTGATTGATTCAAATAAGTTTCTCCCTGACAAGATTATAAAAGACATTTTAAATATCATTCCATTTAATAATCGTTATACAAAGTCATATTTGAAGCTTGCCAAACTCATATATGATGAATATCCTTTAACAGAAGTTAAAAAAGCTAATGGATTTATTAACTATCTGTTTTATAAAGAATATGGAATTAAAATATACATGTCTAATGGTTCCAAAGGGATTGATGATCCTAGAAACCCAATTTACAGAGAAATGATGGAAAATGCAATTCACACAGAAGATACAATTTTCAGAGCAATAATGAATAACGACAAAGAAAAATTCATCGCATTCACTGAAAGAGATGAATTTAATGAAGATCAAACGCACAGAAGTAGTTTATTGCCACCTGATGAAAAATCGTATTCATTACTTGATTTATGTTGTTATTATGGGGCAGTTGATTGTTTCAAGTTTTTAAGAACGAAATTTAACTCAGAAATAACTCAAAAATGTCTTGAATTTTCATTTTTAGGAGGAAATCCAGAGATCATGAGTGAATGTTTGAAAATACAAGAACCAGATGAAAAATGCATGGAATATGCAATTATTTCACACAACATTGATTTTGTTACATTCTTGATGAATGAATATGATATAGAGATCAATCTAATGCAATACCCAATTTATAATAATCTTGAGGTGTTTTTAGTTTATCTCGATCATACCAATAATATTAACAAATGTTTAGTTTATTCAACCATGTTTGAAATACCATCCCTTTGTGAATATTTACTTTTACAAGGTGCAAAAACCCACACAAAAGATGTATTTGGAAAAACAGCTCTGATACATGCAGCAGAAAATAATAGTAAAGCAATAGCCGAACTTCTGATATCATATAATGCAGACATCAATGAAAAGGATAAATCAAGAAGAACTGCTCTTCATTGTGCAGTAAAAAATAATAGTAAAGCAATAGCCGAACTTCTGATTTCACATGGTGCAAATATCGATGAAAAGGATACATTAAGAAGAATTGCTCTTCATTATGCAGCAGAAAATAGCAATAAAGAAATAGCCGAACTTCTTATTTCACATGGTGCAGATCTCAATTATAAAGATGAATTTGAACAAACTGCTCTTCATTGTGCAGTAAAAAATAATAGTAAAGCAATAGCCGAACTTCTGATTTCACATGGTGCAAATATCGATGAAAAGGATAAATCAAGAAGAACTGCTCTCCATTATGCAGCAGAAAATAATAGTATTGAGACAGCTGAACTTCTTATTTCACATGGTGCAAATATCGATGAGAAGGATATAGATGAAAGAACTGCTCTTAATTTAGCAGTAAATAAATTGAATAAAAAAACTATTGAACTTCTTCTTTCGCATGGTGCAAACATTTATGAAAAAGATAAAAATAAAGAAACCACACTTCAACTTGCAATTAGAAGGAATTGTATAGATATAGTTGAAATTCTACTTTCACATGATCCAATTATAAATGAAGATATGGGAAACTTGCTCAATCTTGCAATATGCTATAATGGAAATCAAATCTTCGAACTTCTTCTTCCACATTGTCCAAATATCAATGAATACATGCCAAGATTGCTTTATCATGCAACTGATAATGGAATATATAAAGTACTCGAATTTCTTATTTCGCATGGTGCAGATGTCAATGGAAAATATGATGAAGGAAGAACAGTTCTTCATATTGCCGCAATATCTAATTATTTCGATGAAATTGAACTTTGTATTTCTCATGGTGCAAATATTAATGAGAAAGATAATAATGGACAAACCGCTCTTCATTATGCAGCAGCTAAATGCAATGAAAAAACAATTGAAACTCTTGTTTCGCACGGCGCAAATGTAAATGAAAAAGCAAAAGATGGAACAACGGCTCTTCATTTTGCTGTTCAGAATACCAGTATAGAAATGATCGAACTTCTTCTTTCGCATGGTGCAAATATTAATGAAGAGGATGAAAATGGATTGACTGCTCTTCATTACGCAGCAAAAATAAATCTTCATCAAAACGTTGAATTTCTACTTTCAAAAGGTGCAAATATTAATGCAAAAACAAAAGATGGATTAACTGCCCTTCATTATGCAGCACAGAATAATTGTAAAGAAATCATTGAAGTATTAATTTCACATGGTGTAAATATTAATGAACAAGATGAAAATGGATTTACAGCTCTTCATTATGCAGAACAAAAAAATTATCAAAAAATCATTGATCTTCTTTCGCATGATGCAAAATCCTCAAACAATAAATAAATGAAAATATATAAATATATTTAATTTATTATAACTTCGTTTTTTAAAAAAATAAAACTTTGGTGAAAAAGGAATAATGATAAAAAATAAACAAATCTAAAACAAATAGAATAAAACACAATTAAAAAAATAACAATAACAATAATAAAAAAAAATTACAAAATAAATTAAAATAAAAATTAGCGTCTTCTTCTTCTTTGAGGAAGTTGAGCAACAGGAGCACCAATATCTAATGTATCATCATTATCTATTTCTTCTTTCACAGGAGGCAATTCTTTGACATTGTTTGTGTATTGAAGACCTTTTTCTTTCGAATCAAAGAAAACAATCATTGCTGAGATATTATCTTTCGAACCCAAAGCAAATGCGACATTTCTCAATGTCGTTGCTGCATCTTGCGCGTTCTCTGAGTTCCTGACAATCTCAGCAGCATCGTCATCTTGTATCACATCCCAAACACCATCACATGCAATAATCAACGCTAAATCTTCTTCTTCGTTGATTTCAAACGATGAAACATCGGGAGGAACATAAAGTCCTGGTCCTTCACACCAGAAATCGCCTAATGTGCGTGCTACAGCAAGTTTACGGCCAATCCTGCCTTCGGAATTGACTGTAAGACCGCATTTACGCAATCTTTCGTATTCAGAACGCATAGTCGGTTTGTAATCAACAGTTAACCGTTTCGAACTGTTTTTCTTGACCAAAACAATTCGAGAGTCACCGATACCGACTGTGTAGCACTTGTTCTTCCTGATGAATGCGGATATGGCTGTGCAACCATCTCTTGTTCCAATCATTTTCAGTTTCTGGTTGACTGCTGTGTAACAATTGGTGATTGCAGCGGGGAGTTGGTCATCTGGAGCGTTTACTGCATTCTGGAGAAGTTCGTTGTGGAGACAGATAGCGGAAGTGGCTGCAGCAACGTTTCCTTGGTGGCCATCAAATAATCCAAACAAATGCTGATCGTTTGGATAAGTTTGGAAGGTGATCACGTCTTCCATGTTCGGTCTTACGCCCATTGTTGCACTGTAGCCGATTCCGAATCGCTGGGAATTTGAGATGTGGTGATCTGTAACGAGGTGGAAGCGAACTGGAGGGATTTCGGAGGGCAGGGATGCGCTACTGAGCATTTCGAAGGCTGTAAGAGTAGTTATGGAGAACAACGGGATTAATAATGAAGGAAATGTACAAGAAAGGGGATTGTTGTTGATGGAAATGAATCTGACAGCAGGGAAATTCGCTGGATTGAAATTAGTAAGTTTGTTGCAATCAAGATTAACAGATTGGGCTGTAGGACACTGATAATCAAATGAAGAGATGTTGTTGTAGGAAAAATCGACAACGTTAACTGGAGGTAACTGGAAATCAGCTGGTAAAGATGAAATGCAGTTGTGGCTAAAGGATAAAATACGAAGTGTAGATAATTGGCCAAAATAGGACGGAACGGTCGAGAAATGGTTGTTCGAGCCATCAAATGTAGTAAGGAAGAAGAATGAGCCAAGCGATTGCGGTAAAGTCGACAATTCGTTGTTGGAAGCGATAAGTGTTCGTAATTGCGAATATGAGAAGAGGCAACGTGGGAAAACTTTGAACTTGTTTCCAGAAATATTAAATTCGATGATTTTTCTGCAGGCGGAAAGAGATCTCGGTAAAGTTGAAAGTCGATTGAAGGAAACGTTGAAATCGGAAAGGAAGGACCAGTTGGAGAAGCAGTCTGGAAGCTCTTCCAACTGGTTAAACGACACGTTGAAGATGCGTAAATGAGAACATGAAATCGGAGGAATTTCGTGAAGGAGATTATGGACCATGGAGAGTTGGTCGAGGTTTGTGAGGTTCTTAAATGACTCAGGAAGCGTCGATATCTGGTTGTGGTCAAGTACAAGACGAGATAAAGCAAGTCTCTGAGGAAATGAATCTGAAATTTGCGAAATTTGGTTGTTGGAGGCATTCAATGCTGTTAATCTGTGCATGGATGATATGAATGTAGCTCCAAGTGATGTAATATTGTTAAACGAAATATCTAAGGCTGCCAAAGCTTCTGGGAACTCAAAATCGAGTTCGCCGTCAATGTCGCAGTGAGACAAAGTTAATGCACGGAGTCCGACTGTTTCAAGAAGCTTCAAAGGAAAAGATTTAAATGGATTCGTATTTAAGTTAAGCGTAACAGTATTAAGAGGTTCTTCGCCATCCCAATCCTCAATGTAATTGAAATAAAGGTTAAGCAATTTGAATTGTTGAGGAAGTAACGAAGTATCGAGATTTTTGATGCAATTTCCGAAAAGTGAGAGCTCAGTCAAGTTCTCAAACTCATCGAAATATGGAGCAAGGTCTGTAAGGAAGTTACCGTCAAGGTGAATCGTTCTCACTGTTTGAAGCCACGATGGTCGCGCTTCTGGAAGGGCTTTGATGCCACAATGTGAGAGTTTTATGACTTCAAGGTTCGGAACATCGAGTTCCCAGATATCGTTGATGTTTAGATTTGGATTAAAACTTAAATCTAACGTAATTAACATTGGCGGTAAGTTTAACTTAAATTCAGAGAAATTGTTAGCCGTAAGGGTGAGAGATTGTAAGTTTTCGAAAGGTTTGAACGAATCTTTATCTAATTCTTGTAATAAATTTTCCGTTAAGTCGATAATTGAAATACACTTGTAGCATTCGAGTCCTGGAGGTATACTAAGGAGTCCACAATTAACAAATCGTGCTCTGGAGATTTTTTGAAGTAAATCTGGGCAATATGGAATAAGTGGGATATTTTTCATAGCAAAGTCAAAACCTGTTAAGTTAGGATTCAGAAATACGTTCGGATCCATGTTTTCCCGATATGGAGGCCGATTTTCATAATTCGGCTGGGACATTCCGGAAGTATTTGAGTTTGCTTAACGTCAGGGTAATTATTTTACCCCTTTATTGCAAGCATGATTTTTATGGAAATTGTCTGTATTTTGGAACAGGGAAACAAATAGATTATAATGTGTTTAGTGTATTATTGCGTTCCTTATGATTATTATGATTTGCTATCGATTGAATAAAATTTTTTTGAGAGTATGATGATACTTTTATGTATGATATGCTATGCAAAGTAGAAATTAAGCACACTATAACATTCATGATGTAAAATTTCCTTTCTATAGGACATTTCTGAAAAATCAAAATAATATTCTTCTCAAATTTCTACCGCAAAATTTTACGAAAATGTTGAGAAAGATTTGTTAATTAAACAATTATATGATTATTTAACGATAATTTTTTTTGTCATGCCACTTCAGAAAAATCAAAAATAAACGTATAAAAATAATCAAACTTTATATTATTGTTTCGAAAGAACAGTATGGATTCTTTGCATGATTTTTCAAAGATTCTCATTAAAAATAAATGGAAAATGTATCAAATTGCCTAGTAGTAGGAAGGGTTGTGTGACTTTTTTTGTTACATCTATATATAGACGATGCATTAAAATATATTTATTTATAAACACATTTTAAAAAATTAACATTAATTTTAAAATAATTTATTTTTTATCTTTTATAAAAGAAGCTATATATAGATGATGTCAGATATTCCGCGATTAATTAAACATTGTTTAAATCCTGAATGGGTTAAACTTCAATTTAAAAAGGAAGACTGTGAATTATTAAATGAATATGAAAGCCAAAATAAGCTAATGAGGTATAAATATAATGATAAAGAATATTTAATTTCATGGAATCAATGGAGTCATAATCAAAGACCTCATAAACGAGAAAAAGAAATTGAAACTAATGAAATGGAAATCATTGATGACATTAAAGAGGATGGAATTCCTAAATTTTGTAGAAAAACCTTTAGAACTAAGTTAGGAGCATATAAACGTAGAGTATTAAATTCTGAATATCTTAAACATATATTTAAAAAGGAAGACTGTGAATTATTAAACGTTAATGAATATGAAAATGCTAAATCAAAACTGAGATATAAATATATTGGAAGTGATGAAAGGTGTAAAGATAAAGATAAAGTTTATTCAGTTTCATATAATAACTGGCACACGTTAGGGATAAGAAAACATTTAGGAGATTATGGTAAAAGTTCTGAATTCTTCAAATCTAGTATGTACGAGAGAATAAAAGAAATTAGAAATAATTATTTTCATGAATGAAAGATTCACTACCATAATGAAATAAAATTTTTTAAAAAATAAACTTTAAAAATTCATGTCTCAGAATCAACATAGAGCTTTAAGAAACTAATGATTATTTGAATTTATGAAATCAATTATTTGATTCATTCTTTCTTCAATCTCTTCTATTCTTTTTGTTAAATCATCTATTTTCATTAATGAGGTGATTCTTGATTGAGGAATAGATTTCAAACTAACCACCCCCTTTATTTTTGAAATTTTGAATCCATCAACTTTAAACATTTTATTCAATTTACACGTTGTCAATTCTTCAAATAATTTTTTATTGTTAGCATAGTAGTCATTAAATTCTTCAACAGATGAAAAAATTTTTATTTCAGTAATTGGTTTAACAACGTTTATTTTTTGTTGAACATTTTCACTTTCATTTATTTCTTCCTCCTCTGTTTCATTTATTTTTAAAATCGGTTTCATTTATCATTAAATAAAAATTAGAATATAAGTGATGAAATATATTTTTAATTAATATTAAATCAGAAATGGCGGCAGGATTCTTTAAAAAATTATGGGATGGAATTAAGAAAGCTGCGGGTTGGGTTCATCAAAAGATTATTAAACCCGTTGCAAACTTTTTGGCACCAGTAGCGAAAACGGCAGGAACTATCATAGGTGGAGTATTAGGTACTAAAGCAGGTAATCCGGCGATGGGAGCACAAGCAGGTAACGCAATTGGTGGAATAGCTGAAGGAATACTTAATAAAATAGGAGGTAGATAGTGGAAAAATAAATAAATATTATTTTTATCTTAGTATCGGTTGAAGTCTTTGATAAACTTTTTCTCCTTTATTTAATATTTCTCTTATTGGGGCAGCTTTTGGTGTTATTGATTCAGCAACGTCACTAATTGCTTCTTTATTCTTAAATATCCAATTTGCTCCTTTCTTCATTGTTTCCCAAACTTTATGCGCTCCTCTTTTTACTTTATCCCATAATTTTTTAAAGAATCCTGCAGCCATAGTTGATTATTTCATTAAAATTAAAAATTCATTTTCATCTTTTAATTTTGATTTTTTATTTAATAATAAATGACGACTAACTATTTGGTGCCAAACACTAAACCGATTAATGGAAATGTGTTTCATTCATTCGAAAAGATAAATGAAATATTCACAAAGAATGACGGTAGAAGATATTATAGAGAACTTGAAAGTTCATGCTATGACTCTGATGCTCCATATTTTGATGATAAACAAACTCATTTAAGAATTACAAATCCAGCTCATGATGTGAATCAATTAGGTGACACATATATTAAACGCAAAGTTAAAGCAACTCTAGTTTCAAATAAAGCTTTCACATGTGATGCCGCTTTTAAATGCATGCGTTTATTCGTTGGTTACAAATCATCAAATCAAAGCTTTAAACAATTAGAAGTAGAAACCGAAAGAGGTGATGCCGGTTATCTTCAGATGGATTGCGCCCGTGAATCTTTCGCATTTGCAACATATAAACCAAAATCAGAAAGGAAAGTTAAAAAGTTTGTTCATTCGTTATATAATAATGTTCAAAAATATGATAACTCAGTATGTGGTAAATATATTGACCCTTCAGAAGTTTTCAAGAACGCAAATGAAGAAGTTGATGTCACTTTTGATATGATTATTCCGGTAAATGATTTGTTAGCATTTCAGGCGTTCGATGATTATCCTAAATCATTTGGTGAAATCATTCTTAAATATTATGTTTTCAGGGATACTTTAGTATTTTGTCAGGTTGACCCGTTAAGAGTTGCTGATTTACAAAATTACGTTTATGAAAAGATAACTGATGAAAATTATGAAAAGATTATGAATCATGTTTATAAATATGATCGCAAATTCCAACAAATCGGACTTCCTGCCAAATTAATTACAAGCTTAGCCGCTACATCTGCTGACGCAAAAGTTGATAACGTTATTATTTCATGCACAAAGATGGAAGTTTTAGAGGATAAATGCATTACACCAGGATACGGTTTAATTGAAGAATCAGTTAAAGCAATACCACGTTTATTCAGTAAGGAAGATCCATTCATGATTCCAGCTCAACATATTGACGTTCGTTCACTAAATGGAGGTTGCATCACTCCTGAAGGTATTAGCTCAGATTTCTCATACGCTCTTCATAATGTTACAGATGTTGTGTTAACATTTCCGAAGAATGCAATGCAAAGAACAGTTTTAGAAAATCCAATGCTTCAAGGTCTTCAGGTCACTATAGATTCCAGAAACTTCCCCGATCAAGCGATGACCACAGTGGGCGACATATTCTTTACACGTATGCTTCAAGCTTCTGATTTAGATGGGTGAATGAATGCACGGAAGAATATGAGGACTCATTAACTAGACCACTGATGATGATTAATGGCACGCCATTAGCTAGAACATGAAAGACCAAACTTCATTCTTATGCACTATTCCAGTTCAACGTGATGGAGCGGGTATATATTCTTTGATGGATTAGAAACTTTCAACTCACAAGTTACATACAAGTGAAAGCTTATCCAATCATTCAGGGTGTATAATGACACTTACTGTTCAAAGGTGACAAATCCTCCTCAGGTTTGGTTTACTAGGACTACATATTGGACATGGACACCGGATGAAGGTTTGAAATATCATCCAACAGGTACACCACCACAGTATAGAAGTTCATATGATGAAATATTGATGAATAGAAATGTTTAAAATTATAAATTTATTTTTGGTTAAATGGATTTAAATTCATCCACCCCTTATGAAGAATTAGCAGGAGTATATAATACATACGTAGATGATATGATTAATGAAGCATTGAGTGATAATAGAAATGCTCTATCTAAGGAAAAATTAATGAAAATTCCATATTCTGAATGTTACTTAAATTCAATCACTGCAGCAATTGGTAAACAAAATAAAGGTAAAACATTAACGATATTAAAACAAATTATCATTATTGCTAACACTTCCCCCCATTCACATGTGTTAATTTATATCAACCGTTCAGGTTCACCTTCAGATGATACATTTGAATCTTTAAAGCATTTAATCAAAATTCCAATTATTTATTTATCACAAGAAGAAGCAGAAGATTATTTAAAAAAACTTTTTAATGTATAAAGAATTATATAATACAATCAAGAAGCAAGGATTAGAGGATAAAATTATTGATAAACAACGGGATGAAATATTTGAAACACTTTCTATTTCAAATTTTGATAGAGAATTTTTGCATTCACTCATTTTTCTAGATGATGCAGTGAAATCAAAACTAATAACAAATGAGAAATCATATTTTAATCAGTTATTAACTCAATGTCGACACATTCAGTGTTCATTCTTCATGGCTGTTCAATACTTCAAAGCATTAAGCACAAACATTAAATCAAATCTATCAACCCTTTTCATTTTCAGTGGGTTTAGTCGTCAACAGTTGAACGTTATGCTTTATCAAGTGAATTTACCAATGAGCATTAATGAACTTTACACACAATATCAGCAATTAGGTGAACATGGAAAAATAATAGTTGATTTAAATAAAGGAAGTGTTAAATTTGATTAACTTTTTATAATTAATTTTTATTTTTTATTTATAATTAAACATGACAGAAATAGCAAATCTTCTACAGGTTCCATTAAAACAAGGGACAAACAAAAGGGGTGCATATAATAGAAC